GTCCGTCTTACCATCTGCTGTCACTCTAATCTCGTTCTTCTGTTCCTCAGGAGATTGGTCCGGTCTACATGCTATTTCATTCCAGAAATAGTGGGTAGGGTGTAATTAGGATGTGTTCCTATTCTTGAACGGCTGTTCTAGATCACATATACTTTTATGTCTGTCCTTCAAGCATTACGTTATTTGAAGTGATCTGTGTTACTTCGCTGCTCTTTTATCCAATCTATGATGTCTGTATTGCTTTGTATGATGTGGAGTAATTGGTACTGCTGTGACGGTGCTTCAGATCCAATACGGATTGGCCAACACTCGATTGGCTAGTTACGGACTGTTTACAAACAGTTCTCCAGCTTGCTCGCATGCTTCCTCCACGAGAAGAAAGCCTTCGAACTCGCCTTTGCAAGGTATTTGAGCTTTTGATTGCCTTAGATTTCGTAGACAGGTTTCTTGGCTACTGCTTGCATGTAGATAGAATCGGGAGTATACATTTTTCGGACTGTTACCGCAGTTATGATTTTCTGTGAAAGGGTGCTTCTGACATTTGTCCGTGACATGTAGGTTCTTCTAAAGATCAATGATTGCTTTGGCGTCAATTATCTCCGGCTTGTTATGCTCCCGATTTTCCGTGCTGCCAATGGTGACGACTTTGATGATGCACATATGTCGTTCAGATTCTCTAACCGTGTCAAAGGTACATGTGTCAAGTCTGCCTGGTCTTGATGATTTGGTTCTGGTTTTTGGTTGTGAATGCTGGGTTTTTTGTTGTCATTCTGACAAAGTTCTTACCGTCCCTTACTTGTCTTACTTGTATGCGTCATTTTGGAAGCCGTCTTGATGGCTAATGGGCGAGGCTTGATTTCATGCGACATCCAGCTTTCTAATCATATCTTCCTGTTCTGCTGCCGCACGATTCTGCTGACTCGATCCAACAATTTTCATATCACTGAAGAGAATGTGCTGGTTCTGTTCGCCTAAAGTACACGTTTTCTGGCATTTGTCAGGTTTCAAACCAAGGACACCATTGGAGGAGCGTTTAGCAACCATGTGCGTGCTGCCTCTGCTTTTGGCCGGAGTGTTAGGTGCTCCGGGTATGGAACCAGAGGATCTGGCAGTCTACCTGAGAGATCTTATTTTGAGGTCTAGCCTCACCTTTGGTGCTTGGACACCTACGAAAACTTCAGAACTTATTGATTCTGTACGTTTTCTCTGGTAAGTGTTTTCTGTCAATATTCTGTATATTTTGCAAAAGTAACACGTTTATTGAGAATCGTTAGGAGAAAGTGCAATTGTGAATACGGCTTTCTGTACGCATCTTTTTAGTCTAGTGTACACATTGTGTTGATCATTACATGAATATAGTAAAGTTAGCGCAAGATTCAGTGGTTTTTCACCGCTGAAAGTGCTGGAACAAATGTTATTTCCATAGTGCTTTCTGGGTTGCAGTTTGGCTGTTGAGACACAGAAGCGTTGATTGTGGAATGTAAAGCGGCACTTGCGAATTCTGGTTGCATGGGATGGGCTGACGAGCATATGCCGTTGGGTTTTGAAATGCAGTACATTTGAGCAGCATCATGCAGTTATTCTTGGCGTTCTATGGGAGCTTGTTGTGAATACTAATGCTGATGTGAAAATCAGTGCAGCTGTACTCTCCAAAGCGCTGGTTAGAAGCTACTCTATTTGATTGGAGACCACACATTTTGTGAAGTGGGATACTGGTGTCGTTTGGGTTTTTTGAAATCACGAGGATTTATTTTTGTTGCCTATCATGTTGTCCGTGAAGGTTACATGAGCTCGTGGTTCTAAACTATGTTGACGGGACGTGGCCATAGGTTGGAAATGTAGAGTTGAAATCTGCTACACAGCAGGTTATCCCGGCTTTGGTGACCCTTGGTTCAGATCCTAACGCGGATGTTAAGCATGCCACTATCGATGCTTTTGGCGCCGTAGCTCAGCATTTTAAGGACGATGAGGTAAGTAACATGAAAATCTATCCCATGCAATGCATTTGATGAAAGAACGTCTTTGTAAAGTTTATTGAAAGCATATAGCCCAATGACTATGTTCGATGCAGTCAAAGTTTGCAAAAGATGGCTGCTTATTTATTTTGTGATCATGAAAGAATTACATTTGGTGTTGGATTATTGTTTATCGAGGGTTATGTCAACCACTACCGGGGTCAGTTGTCTAAGTAATAATTTCGATTTACAGTGTTCCGATATTGGATTCAGTCTGAGGTCCGGCGCACCTAGAACATGACATTGTTATCGAGGATGTGACTAGAAGTAAAATAAGCTTTTGTGCGCGTGCAGGTCGTGGACAAGGTCAAAATGCAAATGGATTCGTTTCTCGAGGATGGATCGCACGAAGTAACAATAGCAGTGATTCGTACTCTGTCTGTGGCAATCCCACTGACGGCATCAACCTTACGAGATTATATCCTTTTCCAGTCGTGCCAGCATTCACCCGAGGGTTCTTACTCAAATATTTTATTCCCACACGCGGTTTGGATTGATAGTATCAGGAGAATGCTATATTTCTAGGATCGTTAATCATCATATCTCTCCTAACTTTATAGACATAATCCGGATCATGGACTTAACTTTTCACACATTTGCTGAACAAGCTCTTCATATTATCGGGGACACCAATGCCTAGTGCCAAGCTAGCGCGGCGACGCGAGAGGGCTGATATTATATGTGAAGCCGTGCGTGCATTGGATGCTACTGGTAAGCCTCTAACTCGATTTGATCTACAGTTTTAGTAGCCATGTTCATCTACTGTCGGTACAAGGAATCTGCGGCCCCGGTAGGTTGCATTCAATTCGATTACGTCTGTGTTGTGTGGACACCTAACGCAGTTTGCATTTAGAGTGATATTTATTTGTAGTTGGTAAGGTATGTTCTGAAGGAGGAGTCGACATTAAGACGTCACATTTATCATCAGAAGAGAAATTTTCATGTCAAGGGTTACTTTTCATGTCAAAATCACAAGATTGTTTCAAAGAAGTTGGCGTACTTCTCTGTTATGCGCTACCTTAGCTGCGAAACGTAGGGCAACTCAGACCAGTTGCAGCATTTCGGAGCGAGAGAGAGAGAGGCAGAGGCTGAGGTAGAGATGTAGATATGTTTATTAAAACATGTTAATGTATTGAAATCTGGATTTTGCAAAAGCTTCATAATGTTAAATTTTACTTATAGTGAATAAATTGCATATTTCACCAATTACACTTAATTTAGTGAAATGTATTATCATGTTTGATTCTTACGATCTAAACTTATATTATTTAAGTTTAGTAGAAAAGTTATATATATATATATATATATATATATATATATATTCCTCAAATATCCTGAAATATCAAGAACACCCTTGTATTTTTGATAATAGCCAATATACTCCTTAAATTTGTAATAATAGGAAATGTGTCCTTGTTGATGGTAAGGTATTACAAGTATTTCTTATTTAGTTGTCATTTGGGTCCCCAGATTGATGGCTACATACATTTTGCCACACCATTTTTTTGCTCTTTGAGAATTGGAAAAATCTTGCTTCTTGTTCTCTAGTTTGATTTGCAAATGAAGCCTTATATTGCAAATTCTCAACATTGCCTTGCTACAATAACATTCTTCTTGCTATTGTACTTGTGTCATTCAAATTGTATGCCACTACCACCATCTACATACCACCACCACCATCTACTTGCTCACAACCCTATGCTTTAGAGAATAAATTTGATTTTTGGGACAAATACTAAACTAAGAAGGTGACACCACACAAGGGTAATGAATCACCCAAATCATGTTTTTTAATGAAAATTTAAAGTCTTTTGTTTAAGTGTGGAAGTCATGTGTATGATATATGCATTTTCAATAGTAATGGTATGTAAAAATTTGCCAAAATGTGTACTCATTCAACTCAAGAGGTAATTTGTCAAAATATCTTGAAGAATAATTTGATCTACAATTGTAAAATTCAATTGGCTTTGACCTTGTTATCTATTATGTACTTTTGTAACAATAATTACAAGTATTGGAGCACATGGGTTGCAGTATTCCAACCAATAAAGACATCCATAGTATTTAAATTTCAAATAGAGAATTTAATATTGATGAAAATTGTGACTTCCCAATAAAATAAAAATAACTTAAGTGATTGTTTATTAAGATTCATGTTTAAAAAAATTGAAAATCTATCAAGTTTTAATATTACATAGTTAATATTTCATGTTGTTGGGATTCTTTTGTCTTTTGAAGGAATGATTCTATAGGAACTATTAAAAAAAAATAACATGTTATAAAGTTTAAAACTTGATTTTTTTAATATTAAAATTTTAAACAATTCAACATCACATAGATATGTTTAACATACACTTCTAACCTGATGTTTGATACTATATGGAGATGCAAGTATAACAACCATGGCTTGGTTGTTTTAAACTTGACACTTCAAATAAAAGTGATATAACACAAAAAAATTGTACTTAAATTTCAAAATTCTCCTATATATATATATATATATATATATATATTTCAAGACATTAATTGTTATTACTATAATTATTAGAATTGGATCATTTTAGCAAATATTAAAGGTAATATTTTTATTTCTTATATTCCAAGTGTACATTAATGATAAGTTTATGCATTTATGAGTGTGTGTAACCATAAATGAATAAATGAATAAGTTTTTGGTATTTGTCTTAACAATATGTACCACATTCTGGTACACTTATTGAAAATGAAATACAAAACTGAGCTAGACACCCTCCAGTCACGCCCGACGGCAGTGTGAACGGATCCAAAAGAAGCCCCGTTTCGCACTGGGGAGAAAACAACTGGCGAGGAAGCCGCCAACGCGTGGTCAGAAGTGGACGTCGCGCGGCGGTACGCGGCACTAGTGGTATGGCACGGCACGGCACGGCACGACGCGGCAAGGCGAGGCAGCTGGGTGGTCATCCAGGCTGGTCCCTGCGCTGCGAAGTCATGGGACATGAAAGTAGAGACACAGACTCTCACATACTCACTCACTCCCCGTTGGTTGCAGAATCATTCTGCTCAATCTCCACTCGCAAATTCCCTTCCTATCCTCCTCCTCGCCCTCGCCCTCGCCCATCCCCTTCCGCCTCGCACACACTTCCCCCTTTCTGCTCTCTTCCCCCCTGCTTCTGGCCTCGATTCATTCCCCAGGTGAGCTTTCTTGGCTGGATTGTTCTCGTGTGGACACTGCGCAGTCGCTGTGCTTCTCATGTTGTGTCATTCTTTGTGGTGCGAGATTTCTTGGACTTTGGAGAGTTGGGTTTCTTTCATTCTTCGTAGGGCGGAGACTTTCCCCCAGTGGGTCGTGATTTGATCCCCGTTTGGGAGGTGCTACTCGTGTTGGTCAGTTTTGTATGGCCTTTCTTCGGCGCTAACGTTGTAGCTTATGTTTTGCCATGGGCACTTTTGTTGGGATCATTCGGGACGAAGTAGTGGGTTCGGTATCTGTATTTTAAACTGGAAGCGTTGAAATCAGTACCAGTGCTCTTCACGGTTAAGTTGTGTTTGTGGAGGTGTACGGGGTGACCGACAGAGTATGTGTTACGTTTATGATAGAAGTTGTGAAATGGACTGTTTCGGTATTCGACCACTGTTTCCTTCCTGTGTAGGACCTGGGATGTATTTGCGTATCTGAAGCTCAGAGCTTGCGGGAATGTTGTTTCTTAACTTGCTCGCCTCCTTTTCTCGAATGATAAGCTTGTGTTCCATGAATCCCGTGAACCTCTTCTCGGTGGAACCTCTTCTGGCAGATTATTCACCATGCACTTGCTCATGCCGTAGACGTCACCTTGGTCTCAACAGAATGTGTTGTACTTTAGTCTGCCTAGTCAAAGATCTTGAGTGTCCTTCTACCAGAATCGAGGATAGGCTTTTATTTCATTTTATTTTTACTTTTAGTGAATCATGGTCTTGCTGGTTTGCGTGATAATCAGAGCTGAATGGTGGTTACCGTGTTCTCTTTGACTGGTATTATCTTTGTTCGCATTTCGGGTTTTCTTTTCTCAACATCCTCACAGGTCTATTTCTGACTTTGAGCTGATAATGTATGACTGTGAAGATGTTTCTTTAGCAATCGTTGTCTTTGTTGCGCAGTGGACAGTATGTCGTCAAACGGTTCCAAGGGTGTCTCCAAGCCTGACAAAGGTGGAAAGAATGAAAATGACAAAGTCATTGTGAAAGTGGCTGGCGTTGTCGTGGCAACGGGCATTGCGTGGAGTTTGTACAAGACATTCAACAGATCCGACCATCCCCTTGTGAATACCGAGAGCGGAATTCAAAAGGATGCTGCGAACGCCTATGACAACACAAAGGTAGATGTTTTGGTCGCACCCCACTGAGATTTCTTGCATCCCTGCACATATCTATGCGTCAAGTATATCAAATCACAATGCGGTCAACACTCTTGTAAATGGGATTATAAGAGTTTTTTTTTTTTTTTTTTTTTTTTTTTTTTTTTCGTTTCTTTTTCTTTCTTAACGTAAGCCTAACAAGGCTCCAATGTGGGTTTAATGTAAAAGAGAACTAAATTCGATGTAATTCTGCAATGTGCTGTACTTACGCACTTGTGGCTATTTCTCTCGCAGAGGAATGCTCAAAACGTAAAGTCTACTGCTGACCAGAAATCTAATCAGGTAAGAGGAGGTCTTGGGGACGCCGCTGGAACATTGGTTCACAAGCTTGAGGATGTAGGCCACAAGGTGCAGGATTCTCTCCATTGGGGTGCGCACACAGCTGAGGAAAAGGCTCAAGCAGGAAAGGAGTCCGTGCAGGAAGGGATTCGAGAAGGACAGAGGTATGTTAAAGACAAGGTGGGTCAGATTGATGACAAGGCTCGCTCATCCAAGAATGAACTGCAAAACAAGGGATGGGGAGCAAAGAATAAGGTGGAGAGTAAGGTGAAGGATGCTGAGGCCACTGCTGAGAAGAAGGCAAATGAAGTAAAGCGGCAGAGCAGGGGGTTCTTTGGCCAGTTTATGAGCGAAGCTAAGGACACCAAAGCGACTGTTGGGGACAAGAGCAGGGATGCCAAGGGAACAGCGGAGGAGAAGGGCAGAGAAGCCAAGGATACCTTGAAGGATGCCGGTAGCAACATCAAGGGCTACGCTCAGGACAAGAAGGAGAAGGTGCAAGAAGCTGGAAAAGATATTTACGGTAAAGGTTTGGACGCGAAAAATCGAATTGACGGCAAGCAAGTCACCATTCAGAAGGGTGACACACTGTGGGGCTTGTCTCGAAAATACAACGTACATATCTTACTTTAATCTCAGCTACTTTGTCGATCATCTTCATTTGTCGTTTATTTGAGAAAAGATCATACAGTCCAGAAATTTAGAGGCCTTTACTGAACAAGATCGAAGGTGGTAGGTTGATGCTGTCTCGACGGTCTGGTTGAGAGAAAATTCATTACTTGTTGCTGACTTAAATTTATGTTTTACCGTAATATGCATTATAATGCAGGTTTCAGTAGAATCGTTGAAGGCTGCCAATGGCATTGTTGTGGGGGACAGTCTCGACGCCGGAGATGTCATTACCATTCCCAAGTAAAGGGTAGACGAATTTCTGTAGGTATCTTTTTTCATACTGGCAAGGATCTGCAGGCTATGTAGTTGCTACATGCGACTCTGTTCAACCATTTGTAGTAGTCACGGCCCTATGCTGTTGGTCCTTTTTCTAGTTGCAGTGGTGCTGCATGTCAGTGTAATTTACATTGAGGTGTAGAAATTTGTAAAGGCGTCTGATGAGGCGAACTCATCAGGTCCCGTCGTGGGTAAGAAGATTAGCTTTCTGCTCACTTCGTTGTAAAATGTTCATGCGGGATAGAATCTCGCACCTAGAAATTTGTGAAATAACGAATATATGCAACTGTGTTTGCCCATCAGGTTCCAATTAAAGACTAATGATAAGTTCCGAGTTTGTCAAAATGAAACCGAAGCAAGCCACCTTTAATTAGAGAGTAATTTAGCAGTCCCCAATAGTACTTTTCATGCATAGTTTTATTTATTATTTGCGCGTAAATTGTAGAAGTTCAACTTAGGGTTAATGAGTTATCTTTCAACAACAATATCGCTGAATAATTCTTACATGAATTTTTGGCTGCAATGTCAAGGCGAGTTCCTTTCATTCCGGCTCAGATATTGTATTTCCAACCGCCACCAACAAACTTGTGGTGATTGATAAAAGGACGATGACAAGCTAGCCAATCATTCTATATAGATAGACTTTCATAAAGTTTCAAACTGTCGGCCTTTGCTACACAAATGCCATTGTCAGGATATGTTTGAGGCACAGCGCCACGCATGGTCTACACGTTGCAACCTCTTTATATCTAGAGAAGAATGGGAACAAAAACGTGAACTCTTAGATTTGAGGGGTAGCAGTAGTAACCCTTCTCGACAGAGGGCGGAACAAGTAGCAGTATTGAAGAAAATAAACTGGGTGACATCAATCGTAAATTTTGCATGCCACAACGGTAGGTCACTAGCCTGCACTGATCTGGTCGCTTCGCATCGTCACTTTCCCTTACCATTCAGTCGGGGGAGAAGTTGAATTTGAGACGAATCGAGGAGACTGAAGCTTGTATGCCGACAACTCCTGCTTCAATCTACGAGATGAAGATTACCACTTCCACTAATACATATTTAATTGCTGACCTGTCCATCAAGGAGACTATCGTTGAAGACAATGACCCGATCCACTGTAATTGCTAATTCTTTAGAACAGAAACTGCATGATTTGTGAAAGATTGAAATTCTGGGCTGAAACGAGACTGAACGATTGTTAAGCAGCTGTGTGATTGATTATTGAACCTTGTCTATGCATTCAACAGGGTTGGCTTCCATGCTACTCCATGTACTACTCCAGTTTAAGCACAAAAATTGGATCACTCCACCGTGTACTCACCACAACGTTAGCTGTCGAAAGATCTGCAAGATCTCCAGAATGTTTGACAGGCCAGTTTCAGAACCTATTTTCCACTCATTCAAGGTACTAGATTGGATGCCATAAAACTTCATCTAGGACAGCGTGTTCTACTTCGCAAGAAAAAGTTTCTTTCAAGACCGTGACACCCCTCAGGACAGCAGCCAAGCAAATCACGGTCATCGCCTGCTGCTCCTGAGGTCTTTCGCAAGGTTGTCATGTGCGCACAGGAAGTCCGAGAATGATGGCACTCATGCTGACTGTTGAAGCTAGAGTTTTAAATACTGGTTCATTATTTTTGCTGGAGCATCCTCTAGATCGCCACCGCTACCCTTCTATTCAATGCATTACAATACGCTCTTCTGCTGGAGTTCAGTTACGACTAGATTGTCCTGCAATACCCAACTCAATATTGGGTGCACTGAATACTATCATTCGCAACTACATGTGAACGACCTCGACGACGTCCTCCGTCCACGGACGACCCCAATCATTTCGACTGAGAAGACAATGAAATTCAGCAGACGCAATCGTCGACATCTGTCGTTCGTTTGACAGAGAACCTTATCCACATCCCATGAGCCTTTGTGCACTGTGCATTATCTCCCATCTTCTTCGGGGTTTAGGGTTTAGCGTTAGCAGTGTCTGAAGATTGGAGATCCTAGGTCAATACCCAATTGACAATAATTTGTGTGGAGCGTGATACTCATGAGAGAAATTGCTAAGCACGGGTGAGTTTTGCCGGAAGCGAAGTTGGTTTGTAATTTCATAGATGAGATTTGGCCGGAATCGTTAACGGTTTAGGGTTTAGAGTCACTCGGCTGGCAGTCAGTTGAGTCTAGCGAACCAGTCTTTGAAATTTTGAGATATCAAAGAAACGCGGATGCTCCACAGCAGCAGATTGGAGTAACGAAAATGAAGTGAATTGAGGCGTATTCGAGGCTCTGGTTTCCAGCTCCCATGGCCTGCTTAGCTCGCACTGTGTCGGGTTGCTCGTCTGGCCCCGCTGCAAGGTCATTGGAATGGGCTCAAGCAAGTATCGTGTCTAACTCCTTTCGAATAATTAGGTTGTATGCTGGATCTCGTGTGAGAAAATCCGTAAAGCAAGAATGTGTGAAGTATTGCTTGATTGGATTCAGAAATGGGAAGTTAACGGAGCGACCCATTGCGGCTTCTGCATTTAATTTTGCAAATAGGTTTTGGGCGTCTCCGTCCTCACCTTCAAGGGTGACGTTTGATGGACCATTCTTTGGCTCTCATAATTTTTGCAGTAGTTCAAGTAGCGGGTCTAGGTTCAACGATAAGGAAAAACATTCCACATCCGTAGAATGTGTAAAATCGAGTTCAACAAACACGAATGCCGCTTTCGAGAGAAGGCGGCAGAGGTACTTGGAAAAGTTAGCATGTCCTGGTTGTGGAGTTTACATGCAAGACACGGATCCAAAAAGACCCGGGTACTTCAAAATGCCAGCCAATTTCGGGAAATCGGACGATGAATTTGAGGAAAATGTGGTTGGAGGCATGGAAGAAGACGAGTCGGAAGAATTTAGCGACGATGATGATGAGGAGTTCTCTGGAAGAGCCGAATTGGACGAATCTGATTTTACACTTGACGAGGACGAAGAAGATATGGACATGGATACTCGACTGAAAAATGCAACAGAGTGGAATGAGATAGGGGGCAATAAGCTGGCTGGGAAGGATGCTTGGGCTGAGATACTGGGTGGGAAGAACTGGCGAAAGAAGGATGGAGCGCAGGGAGAAGCAGAGGAAGAGGAAAAAGTTGTGGTTTGCGCTCGCTGTCATGCCTTACGGAATTATGGGAAAGTCAAGGATGAAAGTGTGGAAAATCTACTTCCCGATTTCGACTTCGAGCGAGTAGTTGGTGCACGGTTGAAGAAGGCCTATGGCAGGCGAGCAGTGGTTTTGATGGTTGTGGATGGATCAGATTTTGATGGCTCATTTCCACGAAAAGCGGCCGAAGTGCTTGCTGAGGCTGACGAAGAATTAGGTACGGCTTGGCAGGAAGGCAAATCTGGGAACACCCCAAGGTTGTTAGTTGTGATGAACAAGATCGATCTTCTTCCCAAGCAGATCTCTGCTAATCGTCTCGAGCAATGGGTACGCCGAAGATCCAAAGCTGGGGGCGTGACCCGAATTGCCGGCGTCCACACAGTGAGTGCGTTCAAAGGGTGGGGGATTGAGCAACTGGCGGATCACATAAAGCAGCTTGCTGGTCCCAGAGGAGATTGCTGGGTTGTTGGTGCCCAGAATGCTGGAAAGTCTTCCCTCATAAACTCCTTGGCGAAGTTTGCTGGAGAGAAGAGGAGAGTGACGGCGTTGACGGAAGCAGCAGTTCCTGGTACTACACTAGGGGTTCTTAAGTTGGAAGGGATATTGCCAGCTCGGGCACGGCTGTTTGACACGCCAGGTCTGATTCATCCCCATCAACTCAGCACCAAGCTCAATCGGGAGGAGCTTAAGTTAGTGGAAGTGCGCAAGGAACTGAAGCCCAGAACCTTTCGCGTGAAGGTGAGATTTTGTCATACTTCACTACTTCATCCTCAATCATGTTCAACGGTTTTTCTACATGCTCTACAAACGCATTTTCTCACTATTTATCATAGGTTGACCTGGGGGCTGTTAAATCTTCTTTGGTATGCTTATTATATCTGATGTAGGTCAAGGGAGCTATTGATTATACAGTTTTCTTGGCTCGATCAGATTATGAAGAAGGCTATTGTTGTTTGTTGGAGATAGCAGAACTTTCTTTCTGTCATAGCTAAATCTCTTTGAATTTGAACAGGTAGGTAGCACTGTGCATGTAGCAGGACTACTTCGACTGGACGTTATGGAAGCCCCGTCTGAGAGCATCTATGTGACTGTCTGGGCATCTGCTCTGCTGTCTTGTCACATGGGAAAAACTGAGAAGGCTGAGGAACTTTTCGAGAAGCACCTCGGTGACAGATTGGCGGTACTTGTTTTCCTCTTACTTGGACACATGAAATATCTGGACTATTTTTGTTTCCTCCTTGTTACCACTTGCACCTTCTCTCTGATCCCTCGAACCATCTTTTTAGTGATAATGATTCTCGTGGAGCACTGTGTTAGTATTGGTTGCTCATACAGCCAGTTTTGATAAACACGCGTGCTGGTCTAATTTTTCTATAGCTTTTGTATACATGTGCGGACGTTTATTTGTAAACTCATTATATTGGTTCCATGTTTCTACAGCCACCGGTGGATAAGGAGCGTGCTGCCGAAATAGGACGATGGGTAGCAAGGAGGGTGACCGTGACTGGAGATTCTTGGGAACACAGTAGTGTAGATGTAGCTGTGGCCGGTCTGGGCTGGGTGGGCATTGGCGTCAAAGGCATTGCAGTTCTGCAAGCTTGGACGTACGAGGGCGTCCAGGTGACGACTCATGAAGCCATGGTATTCGACATGGCGGCAATCTTTGAAAAGCCCGGTTTTACTGCAATGAAGTCTCCCAACAAAGGTGACAAGAAGTCCAAAGGTCAAAAATCAAAACCGAAGCAGACCAAACCTATGGAAGAAATGGTCTTTTGAACAACTTTGGCTTATGTTTTGAAGTCTCCTTTGTGTCATTTCAAGTAGTTGCGCATCAATTTCAAAATCTTTAGCAGATAGACGCGCTGCTAGGTATTCATTACTGAACTTAGGTTAGAGACAAATATCAGTTGAAGTAAACATTAAATGGTGCAGTCTAGAGCAGAATCGAACATATTTTAGCGTCAACCTTTTGATGAAAAAAGTATTTTTCAGAACAGTAAATCTTAGCAAGTACTCAAATTCCCAGATGACTTATCTTAGCCACCCAATTACCGACCTCAGCCTGCCGTATCTTTTGGAACACATATCTCGGTTTTTTCAATTACAAAAAAATTAGAATTCGATGATTTCATAGGTCAAAGTTGGAGTTGCAGTGAATTTGTTGATTTATATTTTTGAAAGAGAGTTTAGAAACAAGTACAATATTAAAATTTGAATTTTATTACTAATAATAATTTCTAACACATGGAGAACAAGAGTGAAGAGTGATTAATAGAGAACATTTTGGTTCTACAAATATTTATGTGATTTTGATTTCTATACGATCAGCAATATTTATTCCACTGAGTTGGCAAAGGCATATATCCTTAAGGTTTAAATAAAATATGCTTTTATATGACTGGTTTTACATTGTTTTCAGTTATCATTGAAAATTATGAAATTCTATGTGGTACAAATACAACAAGTAAATTAATTTGAGAGGATTTGTTTCAATGTTATATTGATCTTATAACAATTGAGTCCATACAATATCTGTTATCTCTGTTAGACCTTTAATTTTTTTTTAAGGTTTTTAGACTTGTATCAAAACAGCATACATTTATATCAGTTAAATATAATTTAAATTAACTAATATCTTTTATTTGAAAATAGTTATTGCTGTACTAACAAAAATAGTATATGATAAAAGAGTAAGCAAAAGCATATAATATCATAATATATATATATATATATATATATATATATACACACATACACATATACATGTAGAAAAATTTATTAACTCACAAGTGGTATTCTTGAATCATTTTAGGTGTTTTAATGCTCTATCATAATCAAGTTGATATAATAATTCCTAAAACTATTACTCTATTTTTAAAAATTATTGCCTTTTTAAATTTGACCACTATTTTATAATAATTTGTTAAAGCAACAAGATTGTTTTATTTTGAGGTTACAACTAAAAATAAAAAAGATGGTAGAAAATGAGATACATTGTAAAATAAAAAATCATTAGCTAATCTTTATAATTTTATATTTTAGAATTAATTTTATTTAAATAGAAATAATATTATTCATAAATTATTTATTTTTAAACTTTAGATAAGACCATGCTAGTTCTTATTTATTCATTTTAGCATCACAAAAATTCTTAAATATAAGTACACATCCTTTATTCAATTAAATGAGGTCAACAACCTCATCAATAGCTATTACATCTAATATATTAATATTTTAATAGTAATGTAAAATATGAAAAACTCCAAATCTTTTGTATTTTAAATAAGAACAATTGATAGTAGCACCAAATATTGGAAAATAAAACTTAAATCAACTACATATCCAATATAGTTCCTCCAAACTGCAATTGATTGGTTGCTTAAAGTGACTTCTGGTAAGAACTTTATCTTGGCCTATGTCACCTCTTCAAAATCTTCTGGTAGCTTTTCTTAATTTATATTTAAAATTCCCATGCACATCAAGAACTAATAAGATTGGAAGAAATATCATGTTTCATACTCTTGTGGCCATATATAATGTATGCTTACAACTAATGTTGAGAGATTATGACATTGAATTCAAAGAAAGGACAACATGAAACACAACCTGCAATTTTATTGACTAAATGCCCACAAAGCACGACTAATAAACATACATCAGCAAGATTGCATTAGATTCTATGCAAGGTACCTTCCAACACTAAGTATGATAACAAAAAAATTATTTAGCCATCTGCTTACATGAACATTAACCAACTGATCTATCTACCAAAGTATGCTTTTCAATGCCATAATATATGACACAAATGTTCCATCAAAGTAACATACGGTTTCAATTGCTAGTGTGTAAAAATTTCAATAGATCATATAGAGCAATAATGGTTTGCAAGATTATACATACATGTATTGACACATAATCCTTTAGCAGAGATTCTATTGAAGAGCTCTTTCAATTGTAACTCCAAGTCCAAAGGCAAGGAGCAAATTCTACTCAAATTTATTGTTGAGGTTGCTGTTGGACTTCTTGAGCTTTAAGTTGTGATGGCACATATAGTCCAGTATGTAGATGCTTGTGTTGCTATTGATATTCTTAAAGTCTCACAATACATGTCGTGTGGTCTGCAACTTCTTTGGAGCTAAATTAAGTTGTTTCTGCACAACATTCAATATTTCAAGACCACTTAGAAAATATTGTAGACAAAATGAAGATTAGTGAATAATCATACAAATAATGTTGTTTTGAGTTAGAATGCTTGAGAGGAGAGGGTTTCACATGTGAATTGGAAACCTAGTTGGACAACCCAGAAGATGCCATTACACTTCAACCCTCCAATTCTTTTCAAGATGGAATTTCAAAAGCCGTGAATGTTGCTCTCAATGAATTTTGGCAACTCTTGTGATAATAAATATTGATATGGACTAGATTTGCTCCAGTTCCAGTTTTAAGATGTCCTCACATTAGTCAATGATTGGTTTTGTTAAAGTATTATGAATTAGCAAGTTTAATTAAGTTTTAATGTAAACAATGATGATTGTGTGATGTAGCCAATTAGAAGGCCAATTTGTCTCTTTTGTTTATGACATTGATTTATACCCCTTTGAGGTATTTTACAATAGAGATTGAATGATGCAAGGATCATCCATGTCAGCAGGGACGTGGCAAAAAGTATGACTCACGTGTCCACCTCGGCACAAAGTGGCGTCACGGCGCGTGCATGTGGCGCTGGTGGCCGTGGAGGCGCCCTTTCACCGCTGCTCCAGTTTCACGCGCGGCGCCTTCTAAGCGGATTCCGTTTCCACCCGATTTGCGTTCCTCGACGTTGGCAACGACGCGATCTTTTGCCGCATGGGCATCGCAGGAGCTCTCTTCGGAAGGACCCCCTTTTGTAGCAAGATTCTTCCCTTTGATCAGATCCCAACTAAAACTCTCATGGGTCACTAACTGCATGACTGATTCACTGTCGGGTGCGCCGCTGTTCGATCAAGTCGTGTGAATCACATGCTCGATTCGAATCTTGGATTTGTTTTTGCTACAAATGACTAGAATTCGAAATTATCGTCTGCTGCATTCACAACCGCTGAGCCAATCACATCAGTGTGACTTGATTTTGGAAGTAAAAGAAAAAGGAAAAGAAACTGTGATGAATTGGTGTGTCGGATTTACTCCGGAGACGTGTTTGATAGATTATGTGGTTTGCGAAGTTGGTGAGAACTGGGATTGGGTTGTTGATAGCTGGCTCTTCACTCTAACGCCCACGACTCCGGCTGCCTTGACCACCACGTCCCGGCAGCGCTCACCATTCAGTATCCAACACGCCGTCCACATCGGCGGCTCCAATTCTCCGATTGTAGTGGCTCGAGGCAGTCCTCGGATCGACGGTCACTAGATTTCCAGGTGGCAAAGCAGGCCGGCGATAGAGGATTCGAATGAAATGTGTGTTGGATAAGTAAAATCCAACGGTTTCAGCATACTAGTGTCCGGTGTCTGAAGCTGTCTTGAGCGCTTCCTTGTTTTAACTTCTAGTGTAGACGAGATTCCGCAGATTCTCCCTACAGTTTGCGAAATTGTACGCGTTTCGTTGCAAAGGAGAATATAGGGTCACTCTCTTGAGGGGAACTTTGAGCTTTGGTAGAGTGTGACAGCAGACGATTTCACTATTTGAAGGATGACTCCTGTGGTAGAGTCTGCAGTGGTTTGTTGTGCAGAATTTGCCGCTCTTATTGCTTCTCTGAAGAGTCTTTTCCACCTTTGATTGTGTAGAAGCGAGCCGAAATGTGTGAGAGATATCGAAAGCCTCTGGCGCGGATAGATAGAGCTTGACAGTGATTCTGGCAGAATCACTGGAGATAGATAAACAAAGGGTGTTGATTTCACGGCTATTCTTTCATTCATTCATTTATAAATTTGCCGACAATTCACTGCTTCACAGTTTAGCTAGATAGTCCCCGAACACACATCTAGTATTTAGCAGAAGGGAGTTTGTGCCGTTAGTAGAGAATTCCAACGTGAAGAGCTTGAGGAGAGAGTATAAAGACTTGAGGGGAGTCTTGAGTGTCTGACCAAGGCGAAATTCGAAGGAGAGAGGGAGTTACTGAAATCGACTAGATTTGATGAGAAGCCTCCACTTTGTGCATGAAAGCATAAGCTCAGCAGAATGTCTCCAGGAGTTGCGATGCAGATTGTTCAAGGCGCTTCGTTGCTGGCCAGCGCGTGGTTGGTGAAGTCTGTCCTAGACGCTGAAGACCAGAAGCCGATGGCCGGCGGCAGGGAGTGCGCGACTTGCAACGGGACTCGGAGAGTGCCGTGTATATGTACAAAGTGGTCAGACAACGATATAGGCTGCAAAACGTGCAATGGCTCAGGGAAGATGATTTGCAGCAGCTGCGGTGGCTCAGGCACCGGGCGACCGATTCCTGTACAGATCCGCGCTTCAAGCATCCCGGGGAATAGGAGGTCGTCGTAACAGACTAATTGGCACCGTCTCCCTCGAGCAGCTGCAGCTCTCAGATCGCCATTCCCGTAGAACCTATATCTCATCGTCATCACGCATCCGTGCAGCTTTCCTCGAGCCACCATTTGCAGCAGCATGGACTGTGTTTCTGGATGCTCGAGAGAGTTCTACACTGATTGGTGTCGATCAAAGCCACCGAAACGAGCACATCGTGTATATATGTACAAGTTTTGTAGAATATCTAGTTCTAGATGAGTACAATTTTGCCTTCATCACAAAGGAATTTGATTGAAAAGTTTTGTATCTGTTGAGGTTTGCGCCACCTCACTCGGTTCATGTTTTCATGTCTGATCTACGATGTGAAGGAACCACCGCCTGAAAGGCCGTCTTGATAAAAAGTTGAATGTTTCATTCGGTGAGAGTACATGTTTCTCTTTAATACTTGCAAGGTTTATTCATTCTCAGCTCCATTATGCGTGCTTTATGTGATTGATAGCATCATGATTGTTAAAAATTCAATTCTGTAGCATTGAGCAGAATTGATGTTCTGTGTAAACCGTTGTGATGGTGCATAATTGAAAAGAGCTGATTTCCTTGCAAATATTAAATGATACTATTCTTTGGAAAATTGATCTACATGAGTGAGGAAAGTAAAATGATGACCAAACGTTTCTTTAAGTTTGTTACGT